GTTGACAAGATGACCACAACAAGGTGCCTAGACAATGTCTAAACTGTCCAGGGCTTTGCCTCCTGCCACAAAGCTGGAGCAGAGCAGATGAGTTCTTGCTGGAACCAGGGAGCAATGCTTTTCTTCCTGTCTCTCCAGTGCCCTCTACTGACAAAGATGCACATTGCACTTGCAGTTAGGGAGGAAGGTCAAGCCTTACACACAAAAGGTATTTATTAAGGATCACTGAGGGTCTGGTAACTGCTGTCTGTGCCAGGAAACCATGCTAGAAATTAAACAATGCCCTTGTAAACAATCAAAAGGCCAAAGAAGTTATAAAAACAATTATAAAATACTTTGAATAATCATAAAAATTTAGTATATCTTATTTTTTAAAAGTGTGTGTGTGTGTGTGTGTATGTGTGTGTGTGTGTGTCCTGCTCATGGCTATTGCTCTACCACTTGAGCCACAGCTAATTTGACGTAAGAGTTTTGTGGACTTTGAGCCACAATCCTCAGATCATCGCCTTCTGAGTAGCCAGGATTACAGGTGTGAACCACCAGCCTGGCTTAAAAGTTATCTTGGGACTCGGAATGTGGCTTAGTGGTAAAGTGTTTACCTAGCATGCATGAAACCTTGGGTTTGATTCCTCAGTACCATATAAACAGAAAAAGGCAGAAGTGGTGCTGTGGCTCAAGTGGTAGAGTGCTAACCTTGAGCAAAAAGAAGCTCGGGGACAGTGCCCAGGCCCTGAGTTCAAGCCCCATGACTGGCAAAAAAGAAATAAAAAGTTATTTTTATGTAGCTGTACAAAGGGTTTCATTCACCATATCAATTCAGTTTACCTTTTTATTTTCTTTCTTTTCTTTTTTTGGTAGCACTGGGAATCCAACCACAGGCCTCACACATGAAAGTATTACTAAGCTATATTCTCAATCTCTTGTTTCACTTTATGAGCTAATTTAACCTTGATACCCAGCTTCAAAGGTCCTTTCAAGAAACTATAATTACAGGCCAATCATAAATATAATTAGCAAAAACCTGAACAAAATACTAGCAAAGGAAATCCAGGATAAAAGATGTATCTGCTGTCTGCTAATGGCTCATGCTGATAACCCTAGTAGCTATTTGGGTAGGTTGAGATCTAAAGACAGTGGTTCAAAAGCAAGCCTAGGCAGTAAAGTCCATGAGACTTTTTTTTTTTTTTTGGTTGGTCTTGGGGCCTGAACTCTAGGCCTGGGCGCTGTCTCTCAGCTCTTAAGCTTAAGGCTCTACCACTTGACCCACAGCGCCACTTCCAGGTTTTTCTGCTTACGTGGTGCTGAGGAATCGAACCCAAGGCCTCATGCATGCAAGGCAAGCATTCTACCACAGAGCCACCTTCCCAGCCCCTCCATGAGATTTTTATCTCCACCAGAAAGCCAGAAGTAGAGCTGTGGCTCAAATGGTAGAGTGCTAGTGTTAAGCACAAAGAGGCTCAGGGACAGTACCTAGGCCCTGAGATCAAGCTCCAGGTTCAGGAAAAAGATATCTGTGTTGGGCCTAAGACCATATCTGGTTGCAGTGATTTTCTAGGACTCACAGGACTTGGTGTAGAGTTATATTCAAGGTTATAATTTTTCTTTTCTTTTTTTAAAATTTTGTCAGTTGTAGAGCTTGAACTCGGGGCTAGGGTGCTGTCCCTGAGCTGTTTCGCTAAAGGCTAGTGTTCAGAAACTGAGTCATGATTGTTAGGAAAGATCAAGCAGCCAAAAGGAGAGAAAAAGAAGGCAGAGACCTCAGCAGACCAGAACAGACTTTAATCATGGCTGCAGACCGAACATCGAGAAGTATGGAAAACGAAGAGCAGGGAAGGAAGGGTCTGAAGTACAATTTGTCAAGGGAACATGTTGAACTGAGTTAGGGTCCAAGTAGCAGTCACGTAGACATTACAATGAATGTTTGGGTCAAAAGGCCATACTGCCATCTAGTGTGACTGAGAAGAATGGTTTAAATTCAGGTGAGTGGGGGAAGTTTCTGATAAGGGGCAGGTGGGGGGAGCTCAGTGGGCCATGGGAGCAATACTGGGTTATAAAAAAACAAGGCTTCCCATCAGCTAGAGAAAATATGCACACAGTGAAGTCCAGAAGAAACCGGAAGCTTCCAAGATTCCTCTCCTGGAGGCACTGTCCAGGTTGTGCTTACTTCCTCCAGCAAGGTGTTTAGGCAACTTCTGTGGAATACTGTCTACAGAAGAAACTCAGAGATTCAAAGTTCAAAGTTTTGGGGTTTTTTTGGTCAGTCGTGGGGCTTGAACTCTGGGCCTGGGCACTGTCACTGAAATCTTCAGCTCAAGGCAAGTGCTCTACCAGTTGAGCCACAACTCCACTTCCAATTTTCTGGTGACTAATTTGAGATAAGAGTCTCACTGACTTTCCTGCCTGGGCTGGCTTTGAACAGCAATCTTCAGATCTCAGCCTCCTGAGTAGCTAGGATTACAGGCTTCAGCCACTGGTGCCTGGCTCAAAGTTCAAAGTTGTGGAGCCTGGGCGCTGTCCCTGAGCTCTTCAGCTCAAGCCTAGTGCTCTACCACTTGGCCAGTGCAACTTCTGGCTTCTTTCTGTTTATGTGGTACTTAGCAATCGAACCCAGGGCCTCATGCATGCGAGGCAAGCACTTTACCACTAAGCCACTTTCCCAGCCCCAAGTACAAAGTTTTTTGGGTTTTTTTTTGTCGGTCGTGGGGCTTGAACTCTGGGCCTGGGCACTGTCCTTCAGCTCTTCAGCTCAAGGCGAGCACTCTACCACTTGAGCTACAGCGCCACTTCCGGTTTTCTGGTGGTTTACTGGAGATAGGAGTCTCACAGTCTTTCCTGCCCGGGCTAGCTTTGAACCGTGATCCTCAGATCTCAGCCTCCTGAGTAGCTAGGATTACAGGCGTGAGCCACCAGCGCCCGGCTCCAAGTACAAAGTTTTTATGGGACACTAACCACCCCATTCCTAGAATGTACCCAAATCCCAGACTCCCTGAAGGAAAACAGGGGTTCAGCATGTCACTTTTTCACAGTTCGATGGACTGGTGAAATCCTTTCACAGTCAAGATCAGAAGCACCAACCCTGAGTCAACCTTGAAAACACCTTTCTAGAGATTGCACTGTCAGGTCCACTGCCAGGCTTCTTTCTGTTTATGTGGTACTTAGCAATCGAACCCAGGGCCTCATGCATAAGAGGCAAGCACTCTACCACTGAGCCACCTTCCCAGCCCCTCAGGTTTGCTATTTTAACTCTTTCCTGAACAAGATTATAACCAAATGGATGTTTCCAGAAAAGGAAGACAGGTGACACCCTTGGAAAATCAATATAATTCATCACAGCAGAATAAGAGGGAAAACTGTCATCAAAATACTTACAGAAAAAGCACTTAACAAACTCTCATAAGCCTTTCAGATAACTGGGAAAGGAAGACACTTTATTAGCTGGACAGTATCAACTGTGGTTCCAATATGAAATGTTCTTCACAGATTATGTATTGAATGCTTGGTTCCAAGCTAGTGGTGCTATTTTGGGAGGTTCTGGAAACATTAGGAGATGGGGCCTAGCTAGAGGAAGTAAGGTCACTAAGGAGATGCCTTAGAAGGTTATACAGATTCAAAGACAGCAGCTTCCTCCCCATGATCTCAGGCAGCCATGCTATCTACCTATCTCTCACCATGAGGCAGAATTAATAGAGCTGAGGACTCTGGGCTGAAATCACTAAAATCATGAACAAGGATAATTTCTCTCTTTAAACCAACACTGTATCTGAAAAGATCGATAACGAATGTGGGGTGTGACTCGAGTGGCAATACTCTTGCCAACATGAGGTCAAAATAAAAACCACTTCTCCTAACATAATGGCAAAAGATCAACCACTTCTTCCAGAGGTTAGGAATAAAACAGTTTAACTCCCAGCACGGGAGGGGGGGGGGGGGAACGACAAAACAACACAAAGAAATAAAACAATGTCTTGTTACCACAACTTTTTTTTTTTTTTTTTTGGGGGGGGGGGGTCCGGTCGTGGGCCTGAACTCTGGGCCCCAGAGGGCGCTGTCCCTCAGCTCTTCAGCTCAAGGCTAGCGCTCTACCACTTGAGCCACAGCGCCACTTCCGGCTTTTTTCTTTTTGCTTATGTGGTGCTGAGGAATCGAACCCAGGGCCTCAGGCATGCAAGGCAAGCGCTCTACCACTGAGCCACCTTCCCAGCCCCTGTTACCACAACTTCTATTCAACATTATACTGGAGGCTTCAGCCAGTGCAATGAGGCAAGGAAAAAACAAATGAAGGTGTGGGGAGTGACAAAAGACAAGGTAAACACATTTTTGTGGATTACACGACACGTGCGTTCATAGAACGAAACAGCTGGGGCCACTGTCTCCCGCTACTCAGGAGGCAGAGATGTGAGGATCGCGGTTCAAAGCCAGCCTGGGCAGGAGAGTCCGTGAGGCTCTTATCTCCAGCCAACCCCCATCAAGCCGGCGTGGAGCTGTGGCTCCGGTGGTCGGGGCCGGCGCCCAGGCCCCTTTCCATCCCCGCGGCGTAGCTGCTCAGGGCTCCGCTCCGGGGTTCGAAGCCCAGCTCACACACCACCTCCCGGGGCCGTCGTCCAGCTCCGCTCCTCGGCCGTTGGGCCCCGTGGCCTATCTGTGTTTTTCCCGCTCCATTTCCGGCTGATCTGGCGTCTTCCAGCAGGACCCCGGGCCGGAAGCCCGCCGCAGGGAGGAGGAGCGGCGCCACGCAGAGCACAGCCGCGCACGCCGTTCCTCAACTGCCCATTTCACCCCCAAACCCTGCAACCTGCGTGTGGGGAGCCGCAGGCCGGCCCTCGTGCGGGGGACCCGCCGCGGAGAGCTTCGCGGGAAGGCTGGCACCCCGCCCTGCGCAGGCGCGGTGGGCCCGCGATGTCCCCGCCCCCGGGGTGGGGGGGAGAGGCGGCCTGGCCATAGAGTCCAGAGCGCAGCCAGAGAGGCCAGACACCCGGGCCGCTCTGTCATCCGCTTCCGGCAGCGCCTCGCTGCCCCGGGAGGGGCTGCTGCCGCGTACGCAGTTTCCATGGGGACTGAAGATGGCGCCGCGAGGTGAGATTCTGGAGGTGTGTGAGTCGCTGGCTCCCGTCCCGTCGGTGTACTTGCAGTTTCCCCGCCTCCCTGCTCCCAGAGCTCCAGCGACACCCCCATTCTGCAGGCGGGGACGTCGCCCCTCGCTTGTCCACAGCGAGCCCCGCCCACCCAGAGTTCCCGAAGGTCTTGTGCGGATCGCGAATACTGTGCCCCTAAACCCTTGGCTGGGCCTGCCTCAGCCGTGGCTCAGCTGTGAACAGCTGCCCTCAGCCGGGTAGGTGATGCTCCCAGAGCCCCCCAGGGCCAGATCCGCCGCGATGACCCGTTACCCCTTGACTGCCTTCCCGAAGCCCAGGGTGGAGCTGGATTGTAAGTCCTGGTGGGCAAGAGGGGCTCGAAGGAGGCCTCGCCCCACCCAGCCAAACCCTTCACACACACACACCCCCCACTCCCTGCAGAATCAAGAGTGCCCACAAACGGCCCGCCCCGCTCCTCTTGGCGATTTTCTCCCGTTAGAACAGCACAAGGAACTGATCTTGAGCCGTCCTACCGCCCATCCTACAAGTGCCTCTGTTTTTCAGGTAAACGATTATCCTCCACCCCTCTGGAGATCCTGTTCTTCCTCAACGGGTGGTATTATGCTACCTATTTCCTGCTGGAACTCTTCATATTCCTGTATAAAGGTAAGACTGGACTTTGCTTGCCCCTGCTCCAACCCCCCTTTCCCACTTTAGCCCAAAGCCTGCTTTCATCAAAAACCGTCTTATCTTCAAATCCTTCAGCAAGAATTTCTTTTTATTTTTTTTTGTGCTGGTACTAGGGCTTGAACTCAGAGCCTCATTCCCCTTCCTTAGCGTTTTCACTTAAGACTGTCACTCTACCGTTTGAGCCACAGCTCCCACTTCCAGCCTCTTGCTAATTAGTTGAAGAACCTCAAAACTTTTCTGCTTGAGCTGGCTTTAAACTGGGATCCTCAGATCTCAGCCTCCTGAGCAGCGAAGATTACAAATATGAGCTATGGGCATATGGCTAAGAATTTCTTGAGTTTGGAAAATAGGACCTTTTCCCCACCCCTCTCTACTGAACTCTTCCTTAAACCTATTGGTGACCCAAAGATGCTGTTCAGTGGTGTACACGTGTATGTCCAGTCAGTTGGGGAAATGGAGTCCTCACAGGCTCAGGAGTAAAAGCCTGCCTCTAGTAGTCAGAGTTGTGCCATGAGTTAACTACCCTGCAGCTGTAGTATTGCCGCTGCCTTCTAGCTACTTCATGGAGCACTAAGACTGATGTTCTCACTGTTCCTAAGTGCTTGGCAGTTCTTGTGGATGTCATTCGTTCTTACAAGCTTGCAGACTCTGGCTCTTGTATTGACAGGTCTGTTGCTGCCATACCCAACAGCCAACCTTGTACTGGATATGGTGATGCTCCTCCTTTATCTGGGAATTGAAGTCATTCGACTGTTTTTTGGTGAGTTTTTATCCAGAGAATATTTCCATTCCTTATGGAACAAGCTGGTTCCTGTAACTTAATTACCAAGATCATGTCCATAACCTGGACTTGGTATCAGAGGTCGGATCTGGAAATGTCTCCCATTACTTCCTCTCTGAATCTTCTAGCTGCTGTCTCCTATTTTGGGACAAGATATACTTCTGTTGCTCTGTAGGCTCCGAAGCAGACAGTAGTCTGTGCCTGCTTCCTCTTGCTGGTTTTGGTGGGAGAACAGATTGAGCTGTTCTCACAACACGAAGCTCCCCACCTCTCTGATTAAGGAGTTCGGGTTTGAAACTAGAGTTAAAGTGTAAACTGAGAAGAAAAAATACTTGCAGCACTTATAAGAAAGGAAAGTGGGGCTCACATATACCACTAAGGAAAAGATGAAGTAATGTGAAAAGTTGCTAAAGAACACACACACACAGTTTTTTTTGGCTGGTCCTGGGACTTGAACTCAGGGCCAGGGTGATGTCCCTGAGCCTTTTTGTGCTCAAGGCTGGCACTCCACCACTTAAGCGAGAGCACTACTTCTGGCTTTTTCTGAGTAATTTATTGGACTTTCTTTCCAGATGGCTTGGAACCTTGACCCTCAGATCTCAGCCTCCCGAGTAACTAGGATTACAGGCGTAAGCCACCAGTGCCTGGCTGTTTATATATTTTCTACTATTATTTTCTGTAGAGAGACAGACAGACTGAGTTTTGCTTTGTAGCCCAGGCAAGCCTTGAATTCATAATCAGCCTGCCTCAGTCCTCCAAGTGCTTGGATTACAGGTGTGTGCCATCATGTTTTGCTTGATCATGTATTTATTATTATTTTCAGAACTAGGGTTTGAACTCAGGATGTTACATTTGTTAGGCAGGCCTTCTACCACTTGAGCCACACCTCTAGCCCTTTTTTGTCATCCATGGGGCTGGAACTCTGGGCCCGAGCACTGTCCCTCAGCTCTTATAGCACTCTACCACTTGAGTCACAGAGCTACTTCCAGCTTTTTCTGTTGATGTGGTGCTGAGGACCTCATGCATGCAAGGCAAGCACTCTACCACTGAGCCACCTTCCCAGCCCACCTCTAGCCCTTTTTGCTCTGGTTATTTTTAGTATAGGATCTCATTTTTTGCTCAGGCCAACCTGCACAGCAATTCTGTTTAATCCTGTGATGACAGGTACACAACACCACACTCAGCTTTTTTGTGTCAGGGATGGTCTTAAACTTAAATTCCCAATCTTCAACTCCCAAGTAGTTACAGTCATAGATGTGAACCACTTGTGCCTGGCCAGTGTTACTTGATTTTTTATTATTTGTCTGGTACTGAATAATCAAACCCAAGGATTCATGCATGCTAAGCAAGCACTCTACTGGTAAGCCATATTCCCACTTTTAAAGGTACAACTTCCCACACAAATCATTTCCCTCTGCTCTCCAATCCATCATATTCCATCCACCTTGCCCTTGGGGCCAGGGAAGGCAGGCCACTTGGAGGTGACTCCATGGGCTGTGTCTGACAGGTACAAAGGGAAACCTCTGCCAGCGGAAGATGCCCCTTGGCATTAGTGTGGCCTTGACCTTCCCATCTGCCATGCTGGCCTCCTACTACCTACTGCTACAGACCTACGTGCTCCGCCTGGAGGCCATCATGAACAGCGTCTTGCTCCTCTTCTGTGGCTCAGAGCTGCTGCTTGAGGTGCTCACCCTGGCCACTTTCTCCAGGTACTGCTGCTGAGGGCTGGATCCCTACCCCAGGGAGGGATGTGCTGTTCTCCAGAGGCTCAAGGGGTCCGGGGTCCAAAGCACTAGATAGAAGGGGTTGTCTGGACCTGCGTTTCCTGTGTTCAATTGGAGAAAGTATCTCTCTCAAGAAAGAGATTCTTGTTTTTCTGGGTCCAGAAGACTTAGAATGTAGAATAGCTCAGGCCAGTAGCTTTTGTTCCCAAGTCTTTTAACACTTTCTTTCTGTCATCAGTATGGACAGGATCTGAGGCCGACAGCACACATACTTCTGATACTTTACACCTGTGGGAAGTGATATGTCAAGCTGGCCTTGGAAAGGTTGTGGAGCTTTTCTCCAGTACATACACCATCAGGCAACAAGCCCACCAAAGGCCAGTGAGCAGCATCTTCTAAACCAAGAGCACCAGCCACACTCCAGTACAGGCTGGGCAACGTGGTCCCCACCCGGGGCCGTCTCAGAACCGTTTCCTGCTCACCTCTCTCCTTTGGATGTCATGGCCAAAGCAGCTGGTGTGGACCATGTATGCTCCCTGGGCTTTCGGCAGGCCTGACCCACATGCCCTCATGTATGCTGAGCCACATCTGTCTGGCATGCACGTGGAATGTCTCACGAAGGTGATGGGAAAGCCCCCTGCCCCACTGCTCAGGGACACTGAGCTCCAGAACCTTTTTTAGTAGCTCATAGTGTTATTTTTCTATTCTGATCATGAAGCGAACACTACTTTATAATAAATATGTATTTTCTGTTGTGGGGTGGTGGCCTTTTCCTTGACACCTGTCCTTTTGGATTTCATCCCGTCCAAGAGAGCATAGACACCGTCCCAACAGTGTGTCCTCAGGCTGTGTTTAGGTGTTACACTGAGACGCAAAGGCAGCAGTGCAGGTGGCCCACTGCCTTAGACTGTAGTTTAACTAATGTCAGAGGAGTTGCCACCTTTGTCTTCTTCAGGTCTCATGTGCAAAAGACTGGAATTCCTCTGTCTCTGCCACAAAGGCAGAGGCAACTCTCGTTCTCGCTCTCCCTCTCCCCCCGCCTCTTTTGCTCTCGCTCTCTCCTCTCTTCTCTCTCTCTGCTGGTACTAGGGGCTTGAATTCAAGGGTGCTGTCCCTCACTTTTTTCAATCAGGGTTGGCGCACTACTATTTGAGCCACTGCTCCACTTCTGGCTTATTGGTGATTAATTGGAAATAAGAATCTCAGACTTTCCTGCCTAGGCTGGCTTTGAACTACAATCCTCAGATCTCAGCCTCTGGAGTAGCTAGGATTTTAGGCATGAGCTACTGGCACCCAGCTCAAAGTCAGCATCTTGTCTGTTGTTACTTGTAGATCCTTTCCAGGGAGAGCTATGTGGAATTGGAAGTAGCGGATTCTAAACTTACCAAAAAAATAAATTGAGCCAGGCAAGCCAGGCATCGGTGGCTCACGCCTGTAATCCTAGCTACTCAGGAGGCTGAGATCTGAGGATCACAGTTCAACACCAGCCTGGGCAGGAAAGTCAGAGAGACTCTTATCTCCGATAAACCACCAGAAAACCCGAAGTGGCCCTGTGGCTCCAGTGGTAGAGCACTTGCCTTGAGCTGAGTTCAAGCCCTACATCGCCGAAAAAAAAAAAAAAATCAAACCAGGCAGAGTCTCTTATCTCCACTTAACCAAAAAAACAAAAACAAAAAAAAGCCAGACGCCAGTGGCTCACGCTTGTAATCCTAGCTACTCAGGAGGCTAAGATCTGAGGATCGGGGTTCAAAGCCAGCCTGGGCAAGAAAATCCGTGAGACACTCATCTCCAATAAACCACTAGAAAACCAGAAGTGGTGCTGTGGCTCAAGTGGTAGAGCGCTTGCCTTGAGCTCAAGAGCGCAAGGACAGTGTCCAAACCCAGAGTTCAAACCCCACAACCAACCAAAAAAAAACAAAAAAACCCCAAACACTGGAACTAGAAGCATTACTCAAATAGCGCTCCAGACTTGAACAAAAAGGTGAGCAAAAACACACAAAGGTCCTGAATGCAAATCCTAGTAATGGTACATATACAAAATACTGAATTAATGACAACACACAGACATTTAGTGCTAGAGAATAGGCTCTACACATGTGTCTTCTCTCTTTCCCGGAGTAGCCATGTTTAGAACTATCCCTGTCAACTTTCTAGATACTAGCTATGTTTTTCAGCCTCAAGAAGCCACCAGGAGCTAGGCACCAGTGGCTCATGTCAGTAATCCTAGATAATCAGGAAGATGAGATCCAAGGGTGGAGGTTTGAAGCTTAGACCAGGCAGACAAATCTAAGAGATCTTTATCTCCACTTACCCAGCAGGAAGGTAGAAATGGAGGTATAGTTCGAGTGATAGAACACCAGCCTTGAGTGAAAAAGCTAAATGAGAACACAAGACCCTGAGTCTAAGCCCCAGTTTTGCCCCCCCCCCCAAAAAAAAGCCACCAGAAGCTATAAAAAGACAACATTCACTTTAGGAAACATTGAATGAGGCCCTCTATTTGATGAATCCAGAATATCTATCCTTCCTCAAAGGAAAAGGTTATTGACATTTAAGTTTAAGCTTTCTATGCTGGATTTGAACTGATTTTTCCCCCCAACTGTTAAAGCTTGTCACTTCCTGTCACTACTGATTTTGTTCTTTTTTTTTGGTCATGGGGCTTGAACTCTGGGCCTGGGTGCTGTCCCTCAGCGCTTCAGCTCAAAGCTAGTGCTCTACCACTTGAGCCTCAGAGCCATTTCCAGTTTTCAGGTGATTTATTGGAGGTATTGTCTCATGACTTTCCTGCCTGGGCTGGCTTTGAACAATGATTCTCAGAGCTCAGCCTCCTCAGTAGCTCGGATTACAGGCGTGAACCACCAGTGCCTGGCTATTTTTGTTGTTTCTTATACCTCTGAGCCCTTGGCCTCCAGCTGCCCTGAGTCAACCTAAATACTATGCAGGACAGAAACAACTGAAAACAAAATGAAGGTAGTGAAGGACAGGAAGTCTTGTTTTCTTTTTGGGTCCGGTCGTGGGGCCTGAACTCTGGGCCTGGGCACTGTCCCTCAGCTCTTCAGCTCAAGGCTAGTGCTCTACCACTTGAGCCACAGCGCCACTTCTGGCTTTTTTTCTTTTTGCTTATGTGTTGCTGAGGAATCGAACCCAGGGCCTCATGCATGCAAGGCAAGTGCTCTACCACTGAGCCACCTTCCCAGCCCAGGAAGTCTTGTTTTTGAGACAAGGTTTTACTACTCAACCCAAGCTTGGCTCAAATTCTTCGGCCTCAGCCTCCTGAGATTTTAAGTGTGTACCACTATTCCCAACTGGAAGAGTCAATGTGGCTAGAGGATCTGCTTGGTGTGAAGCAAGTCACTTCACAGCTCTTACACACCTGGAGGCACTAGTGTTCTTGGACCAGCTGCTTGCACTCATGGCTAAAATTGGCAAGTAATTGCCATGCTCATTTCTGCAGGCTAATGTCTGCCCAGTGCAGAAGGTCCACACCATGGCAGCAAGCAGAATTCATCCAGTGTGGAGCAGGTATTTGATCCATGTATGAGTGAGGCTGGGTATACTCAGGCATATATTTCTCTGAAATATATAGTTACATCCTATGAGGCAGAAGGAAATTAAGGGCACTCTGTTTTAGAGACAGAATTGAAATTTGCAGTTAAATGTAAAGGATAGAATCCTTGCTTCCATGGTACCTCCTAGGTAAGAGTGTATCGCCTCAGCAATCTTTACTTTTTTTTTTTTTGCCAGTCCTGGGGCTTGAACTCTGGGCCTGGGTGCTATGCCAGAGCTGCTTTTGCTCAAGACTCTACCTCTTAAGCCATAGCACCACTTCTGGCTTTTTCTGAGTCATTTATTGAAGAGTCTCAGACACTCTTGTTCTGTCTGGCTTCGAACCATGACCCTTAGATATGTCTCCTGAGTGGCTAGGTTTACAGGCATGAGCCACCAAGTTGCTGGCTCTTTATACTTTCCTACACAAGTCTTCTGGAGCATAAAAAGCCTAGGCCCTAAGTAGATTGGTGGAGTAGCACCAGACACCTAGTAATTGTGGCAGAGAGACATGGAACCCAACTTGAAAACAATTTCTTTGATGCTTCAGTACTAGGGTTTGAACTTGGTGTCTTGTACTTTCTAGAAAGGTATATTCACTTAGGCATGACCTCAGTTCCCTCAAAACTTTAAATTCTGAGAATATTTTTAAGTTTCACATTATCCTGCCCCTTCTAGCCCCTTCACACTGGTCTTGCCTTTCCAGATAGCAGCTGGAATTATTGGCTCATTTGTGGGACTTTTTTGTCGGTCATGGGGCCTAAAATCTGAGCCTGGGCACTATCCCTCAGCTCTTCAGCTCAAGGCTAGTGCTCTACCACTTGAGCCATAGCACCACTTCTGGCTTTTTCTGCTTATGTGGTGCTGAGGAATTGAACCCAGGGCCTCATACATGCAAGGCAAGTGCTCTACCACTAAGCCACCTTCCCAACCCCTGTGGGAGTTGGTTTTTTTTTAATCATCTAGCCCTCCTCTTTGTCAGCTTCATTTCTCTGGCTGCGGGGACAGAAAGCTGTAAGATTCTGGATCATAGATCCTATTATGAACCCATCCTGAGCTCCTCGGCACCTTAAGATTCATTCCTCCATTTACATTTAGACATAAAGTGGGCTTTAGAGGCTTAGCCACATCCTTGAACAATGACACATTGGTACTTGAAACCACTGTCAATCTGTTGACTAGTCAAATCATTGAGAAATGGCCATTCTACCTCAGGTTCAGGCTACCAACTTCCTTCACTTTGCTTTTTTTTTTGGGGGGGGAGGGGGGGTCCTGTCATAGGGCTTGAACTCTGGGCCTTGGCGCTGTCCCTCAGCTCTTCAGCTCAAGGTTAGCACTCTACCACTGAGCCACAGCGCCACTTCTGGCTTTTTCTTTTTTGCTTATGTGGTGCTGAGGAATCGAACCCAGGGCCTCAGGCATGCAAGGCAAGCACTCTACCACTGAGCCACCTTCCCAGCCCCACTTTGCTTTTGTCAGTCACAGGGCTTGAACTCTGGGCCTGGGCGCTGTCCCTCAGCTCTTCAGCTCAAGGCAAGTACTCTACCACTTGAGCCACAGCACCACTTCTGGTTTTCTGGTGGTTTATTGGAGATAAGTCTCATAAACTTTCCTGCCCCAGCTGACTGAAATATGATCGATCCTCAGATCTCGGCCTCCGGAGTAGCTAAGATTTACAGGCATGAGCCACAAGCACCCTGCTTTGCTTTGCTTTTGAAAAGCCAGTTCTCTACTAAAATCTTGACTCTTATTCCTTTTATTTAAATGGCAGTTCTGCTCACAGAACATTCACATTATCTGATTCCTAAAACATCCCTGTGTGAAAGAACAGTAATTATTTTCATCTTCCAGATCAGAGTGCCCAGGGATACACTGCTTGTCTATAGTTAAACTGATGAGGACTGGATGCTGGCACTCAGATCTGATCCTTTCTGATCCTTCGGGGAGAACTGTACAATACAATGTGCTTTAAAATACGTCTTAGGAATCATGAACAATACAGGATGATGTCCACATTTTTTTAAACCAGGCTAGTTAGCAGGCTAAGGAAAAAAAGCATCCCAGAGTTTCACACTAGAGGTCGAGTGTCACCATGGGGTCATGGTCAGCCACCGCCATACAAACTTATCCATCATGCAGGTTCCAGCTAAAAACTCGGTTTTCTATTTTCCCAAGCATCTATATCAGCCCACACCCACGCCCAACACCTCAACAAATCTATTCAATGCAGAATCCATGAAAACAGCTCACACCCCATTTATTATTTAAAAATATTTTGTTACAAAAGGAAAAAAATACAATGCAGTATAAAAGATTGACAGCGTCATCAAGTTTATTACACAATTTTCAACCTATCAGAAAGACAAACAAATCACCGACAACAGGGGGACGGGGCCTTGGCCTTTTGAGGGTTTTTTTTTTTTTTCTTTTTCCTTTTGCTATCAGGAAATAAAACTAAAAATTGTGTCATTGAGTAAAAACAAAACAAAAATGGGGAGAAAATAATTCTCCGGGTAAACAGTTTTTCTGATATTCTATATATTGTTTTCTTTAAACTGTCACCTTACTTGGTTTTCTCTACATTTTAAAAAGACACCGGAGCTGCTCTTGAGGATAAGCACATCACTTAACACTTGGCCAGTTGGGCGGGTGCCATGTTCTGGTGGAGGTGGGGGTGGGGCTGGGGGACAGGGGAAACACAGCTACAATCCTGTAGCCTCTGTCCCATGGGAATGTGACTCTCCAACCCTGGGGTACCCCCTCAGTGACTGAGGGGCGTATTAGAAACGTGCTGGAAACAGAGGAAGGGTTGTTCGGTCCATTTCAGTCTCTCCCCACTGAGCCAGCAGGGTCTCCAGTAGCCTATGCCTCACACTCCCATCTCCTCACCTTAGATGTCATATGCCCTACGGATACATGTAAAAGTCATGCCCCATGTGGGCGCTGCAGGACCCTACTGCCACCTCCTTCACCAGCAGCATCATCACAAATTGGATGTTATAGGGGCAAGCAATTCCTTTTGCCTGTGTAGAAAATGACCCTCAGATTGCTGGTCCTTAGAGCTCTGAGATGAATTCACTCAAGTCAGGCTCTATTTCTTCCTTGCTCTTTCCTTGTTAGAGGTAGGAAGTACCTCCAGGCAGAATGTGGAAGGTATTGAGTCAATAGTCAAAAGGTGGAAAGAAAACAAATTTGACTTGACCTGCATACTAGTGCCAGATTATCTGGTAATAAGCAAAAGTGTGTACCTGGGAGATGCAAGCCCATGCTTACATCAAACCTGAAGACGGAAGAGCCTATGGAAGTAGGCCACATCCCACCCAAGCTGCCTCCTTCCCCAGTCCTCCTGGTACTTCAGTAGGGCTCTTGATTGCTGAGGTCCCAGAATCCCCATCTCCCAATGGCAGTACCTTCCTCTAAAACAAGGAAGCAGCCTTCTTGGGGGAAGAGCCCTACTTGTTACATGGAAGAGCCCTAGGGAAAGGAATACTGAAGAGCTGGTTATTCCAAGAGGCAACCACCGCAGAGGATGGTAACTGGCTTGCCAGTTTGCCCAGCTGAAAGCAACCTCCTGGGTTGCTCTATTTTAGAGGGGCAAGTCCATGGAGGAGCTTGGGCTGCACGGAGTCAAAAGGGTTAAGCAATCTGAGAGGGCAGTAAAATAAACCGTCAACATGTGAGAGGGCAAAACCAAGAACAGTAGCTTTTCAAAAGGTAGTTTCTGTTCTCATGGTCCCTCCTCAAAGGGCTGGGAAGATCAAGGAGTTAAAGAAATGGGATACTAGCAGAGGTTCAGACCCTCTTGGCCCCATCAAATCTAGTGCTGAGGGCAGGACCCTGGGCATATTTTGGCACACCCAGTCAATCTCCTGGATCCTACACGGAAGATCCAATTCCTTTGGGAATAAGTCTTCCATCAACCTTACCACTGCACTGCTGAAAACTTAAGAAACTCGTTTCCTCGGACAAAGCACCATTCTCTATGGGGACCAGGGGAGTGGACATGTTGCTTTTTTCCTGTCTGTACCCCCACCCCCCGCCACATGAAGTCTTTAGGTTCTTTCCCCTGGCAAACAGGAAGTGTGGGATTGGGAGGGCTGCCAAGCCATCTTCAATCCTGTAGGGCAGAGTGTATTGCCTGGGTGCCTGGAGGGAGGAGTTAGGGGTTTGGAGGAGGGGAAGGGGTGGAGCGGCCTCCGTCCTTTAGTCCTGATCAAGGTGAGGAGATGCAAGTCCATTAAAAAAACATTTGCTTCCAACCAGTGTCCTGCAACAAGAACATCAGAAGAGAGAGAAAAGAAGAATACTAGTGAGAGGCTATTTTCTGACTGACAGGGCTTACATGAAATACACTAGCATTTTCTTAAATTATAACATAACAATCAGGGTGTAGGAAGAGAACACAAACCTAGCAAAGTAGAACAAACTGTCTGATAGTAGTGAGGAATACTGAGGCAGAGGGAATCTGTAGGGAAGCAACAGCAAATACATTTTTAAAAAGCAGTATCATCTTATTTTAAGGTTGGGGGAAACCAACAGAATGAGAGCTCAGAAATGAGTCTGAATAGATTTTGGCTGGAAAGAATGAAACTGTAAGTTTTCAAGAAAAGTTCCTGCAAAGGACATGGTAAGTTTAAATACCATTTCAGACAATCTCTTCAGAGCAACCCTTAAGAGGAAGAAAAAAAATGTGGAAATGGGACATTACAATGGTAATGGAATAGTAACAGTGTGTAACCAAATCCATCAACTTCAACACCCTAGAAGCCCTAGCAAGGAGCTGTACTTCCATAGCAAAACCCTCAATTTGATTTCTTTTATAATAGCCCTGGTTAAAACAGATTCCAAACTGTAATTACACATAGGTGTGTATACACACAACACTAGAGCTTTTCCAAAGTTGTTCTAAAACTCCAAAGATTTTTCAACTTTTTTTCTACATCAGGTGTGTGAATATGAGGCTCACAGGCTTTACAAGGCTGGTGAAATCACTGGGCATGTGATCAGATAGACACATTCTTTCACTGGCTCTCGCTGCCTGTCTAATACCATCTACCTGTACTGACAATTTTGTATGGCCCTGGAGTATTTCATAAATATCTAAATGGCCCTTGGCAGAAAAGAGGTTTCCTATCCTTACCCTAGGTGATAATTGTGGGGATGACAGCAAAGGAACAAGAGGTACGAGCTGGGCACCAGTGGTTCACAACTATGAACCTGGCTACTCAGGAGGCTGAGATCTGAGGATCATGGTTCAAAGCCAGCACAAGCACATAAATCTGAGAGACTCATATCTAATTAATCAGCAAAAAGCCAGAAGTAGAGGTGTGGTTCAAATAGTAGAGCACCAGCCTTGAATGAAAAAGCCAAGCAAGAGCCTATGGCCCTGAGTTCAAGACTAAGTACAGCACAAAAAAAAGTTTCTGAACACCAAATAGGAATTACAAAAAAGCATCATGGGAGGAAAGAAAATAACCAGCAGTAGTAGACACCATCAAAGAAATTTCAGTGTACTTAAGAATCTTTACCCAATGGTAAGGGTTTGTAATGCCACTTGTCATATCACTACCAAACTTGAGGTCCCTAGTACATACATCCACTATTACAGTGCTTACAGTATCTGTGTATGGAAATATGGTTGGTCTGACCATATAAAAGACAACAGTCAAAAGGAAAGAGGAAAATTAAATTCAGCTTAATTTCTACTAATGCTTAAACTAGGAACACAGCCTTTCTAAAATTGCTTACCTTTATAGATACATATATTGTATATTACTGCTTACCTTTGATACATGTTTTATAAGGAGGCCTCATAAAACCTGGAGGAGATACTTGAAGGGGAAATAAAACATCGACATGGTGCCTGATCCTCTAACCATGAAATGGTACTACTTTTAGCTTGGATCCTTAGAACCAGTCTAGCTTCTCTGCCTAGTTGACTGTTCTAAACACCTAGGTAGGAAAGTATCTATCTCATTTTCTTTTTTTTTTTTTTGTGCCCATCCTAGGTGTTGAACTCAGGGCCTGGGTACTCAAGGCTAGTGCTCTATCACTTGAGCCACAGCACTACTACCAGCTTTTTGGTGAGTCTCAGACTTTCTGCCCAGGCTGGCTTTGAACCATGATTCTCAGATCTCAGTAGCTAGAATTACAGGTGAGCCACCAGTGTCCGCATACACCACCACACATGACTGAATCCCTGTGCTGGACGAAAGTTGAATGAAACATTCAAATTTTCACTGGATCAGAAGGATAGCACTGAGGTGAGAATGGCTCTACTTCAAGTAGGAAACATCCTAAAACAGTAAGACATTGACATAGTTGAAGCCACAAATTACCTAAGAACATCTTCAAACTCCAAGGTGCACACACACATGCCCTGGAAGAAAGGATATAATGGGTGTCAAAACCATATAGAGAGAAGTAAAAGATTCCTTCAACTGGTGCCTATAATCCTAGCTACTCTGGAGCCTGAGATCTGAGGACTGCCGTCTGAAGCCAGCCTGGACAGAAAAGCCCCTGCAAGACTCTTATTTCCAATTAACCACTCTAAAACCATTAAGTAGAGCTGTGACTCAAAGTAGCAGAGTGCTAGCCTTGAGCAAAAAGCTCAGGGACAGTGCCCAGGCCCTCAATTCAAACCCTACAACCAAACAAACAAAAAAAAAATTCCTTCAGTGGGCCACTCAGCCTTAGGTTCCAGAGTGAGGTAATGTTCCAAGGAAGGACAGAGAAATAGCACAACAGAAAAGTTGCAGAACAGCAGCCTCTGCACAGAGCACACTATGTATCTCAGGGAATACTTGTTTAGAGAATACAACACCAGACTTTTTGAGCTAAAAGTTTTCTAAGTGAGGTCCACACACCACCTTCCCAACACAAACGGAACTATAACCTGGCAAATGCAGGTGGATTCAAATCTTTAGGATGAGAATGGAAGAAACTGACCTTTTTGGGGTATCTAATTCAGTTCTTTTGGACTCATTTATTTTAAAGACAGAATAAGCAACATACCTAAGGGTAACCAGGGAAGTATGGAAGTAGAAAACTTGCCTAGGCATTACTTTTCTTCATCTTGGCACAGTACTAACACCAGTCATATGACTGTTCTGAGACAGGGTCTCATTATGTATATAGTCCAGGATGGCCTTGAATTTTCAATCCTCCTTTCTTAGTCACCTGAGCACAGGGAGTACAGATATGTGCCACAATGCCTGACTCTGGTGGTTCTAGATCTCTAGTAACACTGTAATTGTGCTAGCTCCAATGAAAAAAGTGAAATGCTGCTACGTACAGAAGGGGAGGTAGTAGATTATGACAACTAATACCTTCTTGCTGACTCCAAGTCTGAACCAGGCCACATCTATTGGTGAGTTCCATCTACAGTAGCTTGCCTGTGGGCACCTTCTAAAACTCAATCTGTTATGAAACCTGGAAAGAACTATCTGGAACACATAGCCTTACTTTTGGATTTATGTGGGTTATTTTAGACCTTAGTGATAACAAGTACTCTATTTTGTGGTTAGCCTACAATTCTAGCTACTAAGGAGGCTGAGATCTGAGTGTCACAGTTCAAAGCCAGGTAGGGCAGAAAAATCTGTCAGACTCTTATTGCTGATAAACTACCCAAAAAAGCCCAAAGTGGAGATCTGGCTCAAGTGGTAGAGTGCTAGCTTGAGCAAAAGACATTCAGAGACAGTGTCCAGGCTCCAAGCCCCAGGACAGAACAGAAACACACACGAACGAACACACACACGAACGAACACACACACGAACGAACACACACACACACGAACACACACACACGAACGAACACACACACACACGAACACACACACACACACACACACACACACACACACACACACACACACACACACACACACACACACACACACACACGAGCTGAGTGGCTCACACCTGTAATTCAAGCTACTCAGAAGGCCAAGATCTGAGGATCACAGCCAGGATAGGTAGGAAAGTCTGTGAGACTCTTATTCTCCAATTAACCACTTAAAAAACCCAAAGCAGAGTTATGGCTCAACTGGTAGAGTACTAGCTTTGAGTACAAAAGAGGGACAGTGCCCAGGCCCTGAGTTCAGGCCCCAGAACTGGCACCAAAAAAAGAAAAAAAGAGAAAGGAGACAGACAAAATAGCAACTCTTCATGTTCCCATTGATTTGTCTTCTCCTATGGAAGAAGACAAACATAATGCTTAGCTTTAAATCTGTTTAATAGTAAAGCCAACTTAAATACCAAACACCAGAAGAATATTATTAGTTAATAGCCAAAATGCTGCAGAATTTTCCAACTGTTTCTGTCTGTTGCTCCTGAACTACACAGGTAGCATAGATTTTGTGTATATATGTGTGTGTTTATTTTTCCTAGTCATCCATTTATTCACTCCAAAGACAGGTCTGCTATTTTCTTCTTTACCCTCCTCAAATACCTTCTTTCGGAACAAGCAAAGAGGAAAAGGACTAGTAACCACTAATAACCACTGACAAGATTCTCCTAGCCTGCTTTACAATTTCCCACAGAACACACCAACAACTGCTCTACCTTCATTACATGCTTTGAATAATTCTTTTTAGCTTGCTTTCAGGTAAGATCACAAACTGGTAGAATTTCACCTGGAGATATAGGACTCTCCCCCAAAGCAAAGCCTTTCTGAGAATGAAAACCACAGAAAAGCAGAGATGAGATACAGGGCAAGTAAATCTTTCTGGCAAAGCAGAGTCTACAGATCCTAACTGAACTTTACAATTATTTCCTCCTGTTTGTTTACTTAAAAATCTTATTGAAAACAAACACACCTTTCCACAGTCAGCTTTCTCTTTCATAAAAACTCAATTTTAGGAACTTCCGGAACATAGTTCCAGGGTCACAACAAGTTAGAGAGAGACCTGACAAATGGGACTACCTTAAAATAAAGTTTCTGCACAGCTAAAGGCATAGCAACCAAACTAGAAAGACAGCCAATTAATTGGGAAAATATATTTACCAACAATATATCAGACAAGAGGCTAATATCCAGTATATACAGGGAACTCAAGAAACTAATCCCTAACAAACTAATTACTAAATGGGCAAGGGAACTAAAGAGAGACTTCTCAGAAAAAGAGATATAAATGGCAAAGAAACACATGAGGAAATGTTCACCATCTCTGGTTGTAAAGGAAATGCAAATAAAATCAACCCAGAGATATCACTTTACCCCAGTCAGAATGGCCCACATCCTAAATTCAGCCAATGACAAATGCTGAAGGGGATGTGGAGAAAGAGGAAATCTATTGCACTGCTGTTGGGAATGTACACAAATACAACCACTTTGGAAAGCAGTCTGGAGGGTCCTCAGAAAGCTAAATATTGACCTCCCCTATGACCCAGCCATACCACTCCTAGGCATCTTTCCTGAACAACAGGAACCAGGATACAAGGACACCTGCACCTCCATGTTCACTGCAGCACTGTTCACAATAGCAAGGATATGGAAACAACCGAGATGCCCCACTACAGATGAATGGATCCAAAAATTGTGGTATCTATACACAATAAAATATTATGTAGCCATTAGAAAGGACAAAATAATGGCATTCGCAGGGAAATGGATGGAGCTAGAAGAAATCATGTTGAGTGAGGTAAGTCAAGAGCAAAGAGACTTTAAACAGCACATGGTCTCCCTGATAAATGGATGTTAAATCCAAAACGTAAGGACATATGACAAAGTAAACAAGACTTGAGAAACAGAGGACCTCCACTCATCTGGTTGCATCATTACTAAATGACCCCATGCTGCTGACCACATATGGTATATATGTGCACATCTAAGGGAAACTAGGAGGAAGACACAGAAACAGAGGGAAACAGGAAAACCTACTACAGTGGGACCCATCACTTGCACTGGTTATTGATCAAAATGAACTAAGCAACTCAATGGCAGTGATGGGAGGAAAAGAATGAGTGGGAAAGAGGAAACAGATGACACTAAGCAACATCTCGCTCGATATGGAAGGAATAACTGTATTGTCAAAGCTCTAGAATTCATAAACTTTATAGACCATGTAAAAGACAATTTGCCCAATGTGTTTGTGACTTTATCACTAACTCACAATACTGTGAAATTTGTGAAATTTATGTAATCAATCACAATAAAAAAATTGCTATAACAAAACAAAACTCAATTTTCAAGCTGGGTGCCTCATGCCTATAATCCTAGCTAGTCAGGAGGCTGAGATCTGAGGATCACAGTTCAAAGCCAGCCTGGGCAAGGAAAGTCCATGAGACTCTTATCTCCAATTAACCACCAGAAAACCAGAAGTGGCGTTGTGGCTCAAGTGGTAGAGTGCTCACCTTGAGCTGAAGAGCTGAAGGACAACGCCCAGGCCCAGAGTTCAAGCCTCACGACTGACAAAAAATAAAAAACAAAACAAAAACACCAACTCAATTTTCAAAATCTTTTTTTTTTCCCAGCTGGTACTGGAGCTTGAACTCTAGGCCTTGCTCTCTCGCTTGATTTATTTGCTCACAGCTGGCATTCTACACCTTGAGCCATACTTTCAGCTATTTGCTGGTTAACTGAAGAGTCTTTCAGATTTATCTGCCTTTGGCTGCTTCTAAACCAAGATTCTCAGATCTCAGCCTCATGAATAGCTACAATCATTAGGCGTGAGCCAACCAGTACCCAGCT